ATATGAACGGAGATTCAACTGTTGTTATATATAATATAAAATAAAAAAGAATTTACTTTATTTGCACAAAATATACTCTCTTTTTTTGTCGAGGATGAGTATATTAAACACTTTGAGAATTACTAAAAATATTAAGTGGAACTTTCAAAATGACTATAGTTTAGGCTTAATTAGAGATTTATAGCTATAGTTTATGGAGAGAGAGACTATGTATATACATTAACTCACAATTGTATAATTGTATAGGATCATACAAATATAGCCTATGATCAATAATTGTACATACAATATATTATTATTATTATTATAAATTATTTGTATCGAGTGTATTAATGAACACAATTTGTATCAACAAATACAATTATACCAACGTTATATCAAGTTTAAGTGTATTAACAAAATACAATTTGTATCAACAAAAATAATTGTGTATTTGTATAATTTGTTGTCGTGTGCGTTTATAATGTTTTGCTGTCATTTGTTACCTTGGAAAAGTTACTATTTGTATCATTCAAATATATCATTTTTATTTTGAATCATAGACAAACAGGGATCTGTGTCATTGAAAATATCTCATTTGTATTTTGCACCACTAAAAAGTATATATTTAGCATTTGCATTTGTATCAATGATTGTTAATAGTGGTATTTGTACTATGATTGTTACCACTGTATTTGTATTGCTGAGTGAGTAGGTAAGAGAGAGTAAAAAGAGAGAATAGAAGCGAGCAAGAGAAGACAGAGAGATATGAAAGATAAATGAGAGTGCACGAAAAGAAAAATTATTATAAAATCCTAATTATAACTACTAATTATAATTCTGGTAAACTATAATTATGTATAGTAAATATAATCACATATTTATCTTACTATATAAATTTTTCAAAATTTTCCAATTTACAAATCCAATTGAACTTTCCTAATGCTTACTACACAATTTTAGAAATAACAATAATATATTTATTATCAGTTAACTTCACAAGTAAAATTTGAAAAAGAAAATATCATAATGTGTGTGTATATATATATATATATATATATCTTACTCCTACCTTAATATTTTTAAATTTCAATACTCTCAACTAAAAAATACTCCCTCCGTTTATGGCACCATTTTCTTTTTGATCAGTTTCAAAAAAACTGTTACATTTCCTTATATAACAAGTATTTAAAGGTATAATTTCTCTTTTACCTTTATTGGTCCCACTAATATATTTATGAAGAGACACAAAAGTGAGTTACTTTTTTAAGGGCAATTTGATAAACATTTCGAGAACTTCAATATTTCTTAAACTTCTTATCGGGTCAAATATTGGCACATAAAATGAGACGGAGAAAGTAACAATTATATTTATGCAATTTTAATTAAGTTAAATTCTTGGACATTTTTAGAGATATCAAAGATGCTCAACATTATTATAGGTGTTTTAAAATATATCAAATCTATCAAAGTAACGTAGAGGGACCACGAATAACCTTTTTTTTCTATCATTATATTCACAAATCACCGATAACCATCACTAATTAATCATCTTTAATATCACTATTTTTAAAAACAAACAGTAAAGATTAAGAAAGGACTGTTTTAAAGGTATAAACATTAATGACAAAAAACAAGCGGTTACACCCACAATGAGTTTAATTATAAAAGCACGCAATTAAATATATAATCCATTCTTAGATTATCTATACATATATAAAAAAATAAAAATTATAATTATAATTATATTAATTTTTAAAAATATGTTTTGCACGTATACCCTATATCTATTCTAATTTATATGCAAGGACGGCTTTGTATGTAAAATGTGGGGCATGTGAAATCTCTATGTAATATTTTATGTATACATTTTCTCAAATTAACATAATAATATTTGTTTGCATTCATACTATAAAATGGCTAAATTGTGTAATTTATCTACAAGACTAGGACTGTTTATGTGTTTGAAGTTTTTAGGGATATAATTCATCCGTTTCTATTTTCATATGAATGTCATGTGGTAAGGTCAAAATGACATAACAATTCCGTGTGGAATTTAACGAAATGAAAAATGAGTTGGATATGTCCAGAACACCAACCAATTGCCCTAAGGGCATAACTGGGCGAAAAGTGGACGACAAAGGCATGAGTGAGCCAAACTTTAAACAGAATGTATATCTACACATTTTTAAATAGTTTTAGGGCATATTTGACCCTTTTACCTTTATTTTATAATTTTAAAAGTCAATACTATATTATTATTTTGATTTTGACTTTGTTAAAAAATTAGAGAAATAACCAAACAAAATTGATAAATTATATGCATATCTTTTTATGATTATGTGTATATAGTTTTTTATGAAATTTTAGATATCTTATATATGTTCTCATCAAAATTATTTATAATATAATGATGTTTAAGTAAATAGAAAAAGACTTAATAGTCCCTGAAGTTGATTAATCATCCCATATATACTCGAAGAAGACATCCAATCAATAACGCTGCTGTCAACCATCCCAATAAGCATTGTCGTTCTTACCACGAATATCATCGTCAAGTTAACTATTAATATCAACCAACTCCATCATAACAATCATAATCAATTGTCATCATCACACGAGTTAAAGAGTGTACATGGATCGAATAGATTTAAATTCTTTTAAATATCAAATTAAATTATTTGTGTCGAACCTTTTAATATATAAAACAAATCAATAAAAGTAATTGCTCGAATAATAAGCACTCCTCACTTTCAAACACGAAGGCCGTGAGTTCGAATAACCTAGGAAAGAGAAAGCTCAAGCTCAAAATACTTGTGAGATGCAATTAGGGACAAATATAGGTGGGTGGCAAGTTTGTTTAGTTGTGAGATGGCATCAAATTGCATACAGTCCTTTCCATTCAAAAACACACTTAAAGCTTTATGACAATGAACTAGCTTTAATTGTTTATATATAATATAAAGATGACATTATTTTATGCTTGTTAACAACCTTTGACTATTTTTGAGATGACATCAAATACTTTACACAGTACTCTCCATTAATAAAATATAATCCATAAGTAAAGCATATATATTTTCCTCAATTGGCTAAAATATTTCATCATCTAAATGCTTGCTCCTTACTACAAGAGGAGAAATCCGAGGAGACACAATATCTCATGAACTAACTAGTTCATGTGTTTTAGTGTATGCTGTGCCATGATTTCACTTAGACATGTTGGATTAGAAATAGTTGTGTTTAGAGATTAGAGTTCATAAAAGACAAATAATGTTGAAACATTTGTAAGAGGGGGTGGTTATAGCTCTTTCTTGTCCAAGTTGTACACTGATGTTTGATGATGGTAGGGACCTTAACATTGCAAGAGAATATGATAGTGGAACTACAATATACACAAGAAAAAAAACAGTTGAATTGACCCTCTTCCATTACAAGTGCTGCTGGATTTATCCAAAGAGAGTAGCAACCAGCATGACCTAGTCAATAGCCATGTTCTTTTAGGAGGAAGTTGGAGGCGTTAGGCTGAGATGGGACATCGCGGAGCTGATGGGACAATGTCTCTAAAAACCAATTTCACTATTAGAGACAAATCTAGGGTTTGAATACGATCATGACACCACCAGCGATAGACGCATGTACACTAATGGAAGTGGTATCACATGACACTGCTTTTTCAGTCTATATTGTATAGATTGAAAGGGCATGTTTGATAGAATGCTTCGGAGGTGAGTTATACAGGTATTAAATTCTTCATAAATAACAGAGATCCAAATAATATCACGTTTGGTAGCTAATATATTCATCATGCATAACTCTTACCAGCTACCAAACTACCCACTTTTTAAGGTGTTGGGCAAATCCAATAATAACCCACTTTGCTGAACCTTGTATGTCATTGATACAACCAAATTAAGCTCAACATTCTCTAAGGTAAAGGCATATAATCAAATTCATCACACTTGCAAGTTGACCAAAACGAGCCCACTAGCCAAACACACATTTTAAGCTGTAAATATTCCAGGATTAAATTCCCCATGTTACAACATGACTACCTAAAGCACCTTTTTTTCCTTTTTGGATAACTTTCCAACCTTCACTGACAAGTTTACAGTGATCTATTGGAGGTAAATCCAGTCACAAGATTCCCCATCAATCCAGAATATGAACAATGACATCCACATTTTTCCCATATTGCATCCTTTTCTTGAACTAGCCGGAGCTAAAACTAGCTCTGGAATCTTGTACGCTATATGGAGCCAAGATTTCAATCAAGAAAACCTCTCTTCGACTCCATGTTTGCTTACTAATTTTGATCCTCCCTTGGATCAGCTTTTTCATGTTTGGTCAGTTCTTTTCCAGAAAGCTGGTACCTTGAAGAAGTAATTCATCAAGCTGTTTGGAGGACAAGTTTGACTACTTATCCCCAGACAAGCTGAACTAGCTCCGTAGTACAGCAACATATAATTATTACATCATAGGAAACTCCATCGAGCACCTCATTTCATCATGACCGATCCTTGTTCTATGCAACAAGTGAGTTCTGGAGAGGGTAGAGTGTACACAGACTTTATTACCTCTACCTGAGGTTTCCTAGAAGACCCTCGGCTCAAAGAAAGCATTTAGGTTAGCGAGGATAGGGCAAGCTACAATAGTAAGATAGATTCAACCTTAACATTAATGTGGTGTTGCATGGCTACCTTAAGCAAAGGTCCCATGCCTCCATGGATTTCAGGAAATGCTGGCATAACAGTATGTTATTCATGATGTTTATAAGCTGAGACATTCTATCAAATTAACTATCACAATAGTAAAATTGATTAAATAAGCCCTCCCTATATAATTTTTCTTAAGAGAAAAGGAAGCCCTCCCTATTATATGATTAACCTTTTGAAGCATGGTCTTCAAAAAATGCACAATAACGCCAAGGAACAGATTTTAGTATATAAAACTATGAAGATCAGAAAAACAGATGCCCAAAAATCTCACAGGAACCATCTGAAATAAAAGACTAATCAATATAGAAGGAACTCGAGTGATCCCACAAAGATGCCATCACCAACAGCCAGTACGAGGCATGGGAACTGTCATATATTCTGGAATAAAATGTCTAGAGCATGTATCTCATTTATTACAAATTTAACAAAATTTCTAGGAAGAAACAAAAATTCTAGGTGCTGCAGCTTTCGATTGATTAAATACTCCAATCATCAGATAATTATACATAATTTACATGATTTTAGTTCTGGTCCTCAGAAAACTACAGCTACATGCAAGCCAAATGAGGATGAACCATGCATCACGTAAAATTCAGAAAGAAAGTAAGTGTCCAACCTACTGCAACTGTCACAAGAGGGCTTCTGCTATGCAATTGTAGTTGCAGATATCTATGCCCTCATGTGATGACAGTAGGCTTTTCTCTTCCGGTGAAGTCCTTTAGCTTTGATATAGAAAGCGCGAGATCTGCAAAAGATATCTAGATAAATTTTCAAGGAAAATGGGAATATTTCACAGTTGACCTCATAGATGAACAATCTAACCTATCAACGGTTTCAATGCAATTTGAGCATCCATGTCGTGTTTGGAAACATCCGGCTCAAACTGTTCGATATATATTCTGACTGTTGCTCCAGCAGAGCCAGTACCCTGCAAAATTGAGATCTCCAGTTGATTCCACGTGATAACTACAGCGTGCAGTTTCCAGATAAAATAAAAGAGAATGGCCACAAGAACCCGCATATCATAATAAGATATTAGTCCCTCTGTCAACTGGAAAGTCTCATTTACCCCTTTAACATGCTTTTAAAGATGAAAATTTGATAGAACACTAGTAAGAAATCATACAGATTTTTCCACGTAGTAGTTTGAAATAAATGGATTATGGCGTTCGATTTAGTTCCAGTTATTTAGACTTCAGATTATACTACTCCTGTTTTCAGAGATTTAACATAAGGAGTCGTAGCATACCGATAGTCGAAAGATGATCCGTGATCCATCACTAAAAACAAAGCGAACCCCCTGTTTGGATGCAATACTTCCATCGACCTGAGAAACACGCAACAATTAATTAAAAATTTCAGGAAGATGGTTAGACATTCTCATTCCTGAAAAATCTCAGAACTTACAGGATCAGTATAGGCGAAGTCATCAGCAAAATCTAGGCTATAACTTCCTGCAGGAGAATCTTCAGTACTTAAAGAACTTAAATGATGTGAATCCTGACAGCTTTAACTTGAAAATGAGAACCTACCATACTTATCACCAGCCTTGCTTTTAGAAATCAAATCCCGAAGATGCTCGATCATGTTATTTGCTCCTTCTGATTCACATTCCTGGTCAGAAATTACGACAAAGTGTTGCAGTTATTTATCTGGCCAATCAGTAATCCACAAATCATTCCAGAAGTCAGAAACTGAAATAACTGCAATAAGGTGTTCCACAGACACAAAAAAGTGGTCACATAACAAAATGTGCTTACCTCATAGTCATATCTCGAAAAGAAGTTCCTTCCATAGGTGGCCCAATGCTCCTTCACAACATCAGCAACAGAAACCAATATCTCCCCTGATCTTTTGTCCTTGTTCCGATATGCAAGTATTGAAAGCCAAGCTAAAACAGCCCTGTCAGTTACAAGTTCAAAAATTAGGACCACAAAGAGTTGATAGCTGTTATATTATGCTAAAGTTTACAACGTAGCAAAGAAGAGACTGAGAAGAGCAACAATTCATTTTGGTAATGCAAATTAAGAGAAGAATCTCTTAAGACGAATAAACTCTCATATTGCAAGGACTCCAGCAATATCCACTGGCATCATTTTAAATGAAATGGAAGAGTAAAGAAACAGCACTTTCACAGGATGAGGGTTGAGAAAACAGGTACAATCAACAATATCATCACTATATTACAAACAACGTAGGAGATAAATGTTCTCATTCTTATTTGCCTTTTGCCAAAGCATCAAAATGAAGCAAGGAAATGAACCTATCCGAAGCAACGTTTAAACCAATTTGGCAGTCGCAAACTACTTAAAGAATCACTGGTGAACATGTTAACATACCATATACCATCTTTTTCACGGATGTGGTCAGAACCAGTCCCAAAACTTTCTTCGCCACAGATAGACAATTTTCCAGCATCCATTAGATTACCAAAGAATTTCCAACCAGTTGGCACCTGAGGGGCATAACTTGAGAAGTATAGTTGAACATCAAAAATTAAAGAAACAGTAAATAAGTTCTAACCTCAAAAAAGGGGAGGTTTAGCTTTTGGGCAACGCGATCTAGAGAACCGCTAGTGGGCATTGATCGAGCCAAACCCTACGAGATAAATTTGTCAAATTTGAGATGTGTAAAGACCAAAGCCAGAGTTGCATAAAAGGCTTAAGTGCTTCATACCTTAGGCCCGGACTGGAAATATGGAATAGCATCTTGGGCATTGGCAGCAATAATTGCAACAGAATCAGATGGAGTAACAAAAAAGCTTCTTCCAAGAATCATGTTTCTATCACCATCTCCTGTGTAAGTGTACAAGTGAAAATCAGACTTCGGTTGCAACTTCAATATGGCAGAACAACGTTGTGTTCTGTTGTTTTAGCATCAACAGAAGAGCTATGGAGGATGAGAAGATTGCACAATATAACCACCAACTTGGCGTAGACATGATAAGACTTTCTTATTATTTAAGATGCGAAAAATAGAAAGAAGTTAATGTAGAACTCTTAACTTACAGCTAGGAAATAGATAATTAGGGCACAACTATTTAAGTAAGCTGACATGAAGCTCAAGACAATGCATCATTATGTTCTTTCTCATCCCTCAATATCCTCCATCTTATTTCTTGTCAACATGAACAGTAATTAATCAAATTATGCCAGATTTGGTTCCATGCCTGCTTTACCTTCATGCTGACTGGGTTTGCACAACAAACTATTTCCCCTTTCTCTTTACAAATGCTCTTCAACAACAACAAATGGACACTTCAATGCTACTTATCGTACTTAATTCCTTAAGGAACTACTCCAAATGAAACACCCCACACACAAATCTTAGACTAATTAAAATTCCTATTTATATTTTCCATTTTATGAATACAACTTTCTGTTTGGCATTTTTATCCGCATAAAGAATCACAAGCCCCACAACGGAGGCTCAACATTCAAACAAATAAAGATAAGATTCCAAGTTGAATTTATCTCTTTTGTTTAATTTATGCAAGAGAACAGAATAAAGTTTCTTCATTTCAGTTACAAATTTAACATTGTTCTGTTTTTCGTTGTATTAAAGGACATTGCTTTTAATTCTTTTTTGGAGTTAGAATATAAACAAACAAAACATCATGATTTAGCTTATGAGAAGCAAATGTGTTTTGAACTTAATTATATAAGTTATACAAGGCCCTTTTGTATAACTTATTAGCTAGAAATACAAGTTAAGATATAGTTGAAATATTAAAGAAAATGTCTTAAGGAGATAAATAAGAAAAACTGGAATAGTTGGTCTTCTAAAAACGCTTCTAAATCATTTCTAAACAACAATACGAGGAAATCTCCAGAGGCATTATCATGTTCATGTGTAATAGAATTAGAAATTAGAACTCCTAATTTGTTTTGATCAGAACATTTTCATTTTCATTCTCCATATAGAGCCATGCGCAGACTAGTGAAAGAAAGAAGCAATCATTGTAACCAAGCTCTCAGCAATGGTATAAGCATGCAATTGAAAGAATATGACCACTCAATGTTGTTGAGGCTAACTTCTAATTTCCCTCCTTTGTTCCTGGTCTCTTTTCATTTCAGAGATTTTGAGGTGGAGTGGGGTGGGAAGAACGGATGGCCTCTAACTTTAATTCTCTTTTCTAATTATTTTCCTTTCATTTAAGATTCAAGAATTTAACTTCAGCCAAGCATATTATATATGTTTTCTGAGACAATCAGGTGAAGTGTTGCGGCAGAAGGTTTTTGAGCATACCATCACTTGCAGCACCAAAGTCTGGTCCATTCTCTCCATACAGGATATTCACCAAATCCTCAGCATACCTTGACCAAAATAACTAAAGTATCTTAGTTCTTTTCAAGAAGTTAAAGCACAACTACTTCAATAGATGCTCGTTACTTACGTAAGGTTAGGGTCTGGATGACCATGTCCGAAATCTTCCAGTGGCACTCCGTTTGCAATAGAATCCTACACGACATACATAGATGATAAAGCTATAATCAAGAACAAGCAAGATAGTTCAATACCTAAAGAAAAAACTCCAAAGCATACATACCAGGCTAGCTCCTAGTTTGTCAACAAAAATGGGCTTTGCATAAGCCCCTGTAACTGCATGCATGGCATCAAATACAAACCTGTCAGCAGCATCAGACATTAACAATGCATAAGCATGAGCAAAGACATCCAGCGGATGGGGGAGGATAGGAAGAAGGACAGCCTAATCCCAATTTACTAAGCATTGAGATTAAGCAAAATATCCAGGAAGTTATTGTGCTTGCACAAAATGCAATACCTAAATAATCACATTTGAACTAGTACAGTCAGTTAAACAGTGATCAAAAATAATTACGTTATAGTTCCATATTACCTTAGGAATATAATTATGCTAACCGAAACTAAATTCAGTAATTATAATCTTGTAAAAGAAATTAGATATCTGAATAAAAGTGACTAGTACCAACAACAGTCATCCATTTGGAAAACAGTATAATAGAAATCATTATGAAACTAGGGATGAATAAAATCCAAAAATAATACAGGGAAAATATAATTTAGCAAATTAAAAAAAAATGAACAAAAACAGGGTAAAACAACACACCTGAAATCTGGTCGTGAAACAAGACTTCTAATGAGTGAAAAATCAAATACATTCTGCACGTTATCAGTGAAGTTATACATATGTATCATGGAGTTCATTTAAAAAAAAAAAAGAAATTTAAACTTTTTAGGTTACTCACTTCCATTAGTTCCAAATAATCAGCCACAGGGTCAACCACCTCCACACTAAAATTTCCATATTTTGTAACTCCAAGTTGAGAAAGATCAACATCAGGAACGTCAGCAATTTTTATTTCAGAAATCTGCATAGCCCTTATGAAACAAGGAATTCAGATGTTGAATCATTTACCAATGAACTATAACAAATTTCATACAGCTACCTATATTGTGTATGTCTATGCATATATACCACTACAGAACCTTGCGTTGAATCATAGCAACAGTATGTCTTCTAATGCGGAATAAGAATAGCACATTATTTAGCACAAGGTGATGGAACCGTACAGAAAGGGTGTTCCCATAGATCTTGTCTGTGATAGACTCGGGAGCTGGTTGGCCGCTGCTATAATTGAACTGGAAAAAAGAAAATGATAATTAGAAATATTAGGTTCTTGGAATATTCAATTTAGAGAGGTCGCATATCAGAATTCAGAAAGAGTCAATCTAAGAAATTCAATGTGGAACTGGCTTTTTGTAAAATAATAAAACAAAGTTTAACTGTCTATTTCAGCAGTCAATGAGACAGGTAAGAACAAGCAGTTCAAGATATCTGATACATGTTTTCTAACAAGATATTTTACCTTGATACCCCAATCATACTCAGGACCACCAGGGTTATGGCTTGCACTCATTATAAAGCCACCATTTGCCTGCGGATTCAACTTTAAGTGTCATTCAATAATAGCAAAGAAAAAGCAAACAAAAAAAGAAAGCAGAATTGTCACCTCTCTTTTCCGTATCACAGCAGATACAGCTGGAGTGGACAGTATACCATCCCTGCCAAACACAGATTCTTCATTTATATATATCAACTACTTTATTCTCATTGTTTGATAAGAGCACAAAAACATGCATAGAACTATGCAAGAATAAAGGAAACCCCAAAAAAGAAACGAAACAGTTCTTCCTATATGCTAACACTTGAATAAAAAGTGGAAGGATATGGACTCTCTGAACAGATAGCATTATCGAATATTATCATAAGGATTAATTGCAAGAATATATGGCTCATGGAGACTGTTATTTATTACCACATGTGAGTACAATGAGCTAAGCATTTCAAAACTAACATTCAGAAACACGTGGAAACATATAGCAATAAGTTGAGAAAAGAATTATTTCAAGCAACAATATCGCTAAGATGTGAAATTTGAAGAATTCATTCGTGCTAAAAGTGTAACTTGGGACACTCACTTGCCAACCAATATTTTACCAACACCGTTACCAGCAGCAATTTTAATGATTATCTGCATTGTAGCTTAAGATGCATTAGAGATCAGAAAACCTTGCATAGTCTTCAGGAATGAGGATACACATGAAACACGAAACATATACAAACTTGACCACTACCTGTGCAGCTTCTCGATTGAAATATCGACCATCACCTCCTAAGACCAAGAGTCCATTCTTATAATCCTCTAACGGCAAAGAATTAAACAATGCCTGTATTGAAACATCACAAAACAATTGCACAAAATTGATTACACTAGGAATTCAATATCACCACAAGCTCAAAGAATGAGAGGAACCATACCTGTATCCAATTGGCAAGGTAATTGTCCTGCATAAACACTTTAACCTATAGACAAAAAGAAGCACAAGTCATCCAAATGAACAGTAAGCAATAGAAAATTAAATAAACCAACAACAATACCAGTGTATTTGCACAAGAATGGTAAAATATATGCAGCCTTACCCCTACCTTAAGTGGTAGAGAGGTTTTCCTATTATTTTGGCACACCTTCACCTAGGCGGAGTTCACTCTGTTAGGATGGTTGTTACGTATTATTTCATAATGTATCATATTGTGTTGTATTGTATGGTACAATACTATTTTAATAAATACAACATTTGGATAGATTGTATCGTTCTCCATCATTGCAATATATCATATATCAACAATTTGAATGATAAGCCTCCAAGAAAAGTAAGACACGGGATGTAGCTACTATGAAAAAATAGGATAAAGGATAATACATTAAAATGTGATAGATGAGAAGAAAGTATTAAAAGTACACACCAAATCAGTCCTTACACAAAATGGGATGAAAATGAATTTAAATGATACTACTATACAACAAAATCTATCGAACAATCAATATTTGAACTAACAATACAGTACAACCGGTAACAATCATCCAAACAAAGCGTAAAATTTTAATAAAGCCAAAAGAAACCGCACCTTTTTGCGTAGACCACTGGTACCGGTCTTTTGACCTTCAATAGGCTTGGTAGGAACTGATTTGATCTGGCATTCAATTAAATCAAATTCACCATCAAATCACAATAAAAGTATATACACATTATATAATATAGGTGTAATTAAATACCTTGAGATCCTGAGATTGGGCAACGGATGTAGAAGGAGATGATGGAGAAACAGAGGATGCACTGACAACGAAAGGAACAGTTGAAATTGTTCGAAAACAATATTTGAAGGAACACAATTTGGGGAAACTGAGAAATGACAAGGATCTATGGTGATGATGAGATGAAGTGATCCCTGAACACAACGATGGAATTGAAACTCGTGTGGATGCTAATGCACTCTCCATAGCCATTACTGAAAACAGAAGAAGAAGAAGGAAGAGGAACTATTGTATAGTGAGCTCAATTTAAAAATTAAAAATAAAGTATTCAGTATAGATGAAAATAGGGGATATTTTTAAAAATCTAATGAGATTCAGCAGAATTGCATAGCCGCCACATGCTTTATAGATTGCTTATCGGCACAATTACTTATGCTTTATGCCACCCGCTTCACGTGAACTTCCTCTTTTTTCTCAAAATTTTAAAATTTGCGAATAATTCCTAAATAATGAAAAATATTAAATATTTCAACTTAAATAGGAATAATTCCTTTTTCTTCATAGAATTTTTCTCTTTTTTTTTTCATTCGGTTTTTCCGGTAATTGGGACTGATTCAGATTTATAAGAAAATATAATTATTTTTTATGTTTAGCATTTAGTATTAATTTATTTGTTTTCAAACACTAATTAATATAAGAGAATTATATTAATCATTATTTCTTAAGAAATGTGTAAAAAATCAAATTTAAGAGGAAATTTTTCAAAAATATATAATTTTTAAAAATATTTTTTGTCGAGTAATTCGATATAAAATATATAGAATATTATACCTAGAAAAATTATTTTATTTAATGTATCAACCTTGTGTAAAATTATTTTCACATGATTTTTTTTTCTATGTATAAATCTTTTGCTTTTTTTAAAATCAAATATATGTTCGAATATAATCTCAATTTTTAAATATAATTATATTAGAAATAAAAAATCAAATGTTGGTTGTATCAAATAACTGTTTTTATACCTAAACACTTAATAAATACTGTCAAATTAAATAAGTTCGTTGTTCATATTTTATAAATCAATTGAGAAGACATTGCAAATCTTTTTTTTTTCCTATATACATGTACTATACAATTTATATTTTTTTGTGTAATATTATATGAAAAAATTTATTCAGATTACATTAAAAAAATAGCGATTACAAATTTATTGAGATTTCAAAAAACGTTAGGTAATTAACGATCCATATTTTTCGAGGGAATGTTCCAAAATGTTGACATTGTCCACTAATGATGTACAAAGTGAACGGTCCATATATTCACAACCCAAACATTCCAAATTGCCAATATTCTAATAATGATAACTATAATTATTTATTCATAGTTTACAAATTACGATAATTAAATCATTTTAACAATCAAAAATAGTAGCAGTAGTGACCAAACTGGTTATGCATGCAGTAGTTAATAAGTATGTTTTTTCTATCTCCATTAGTAAATAAAATACATGATATCTTAATTTTCATGAACAATCAAATGATGTTGAAAATATACTATATTTAACACATTTTAGTTGTTTACAAAGCGAAGTCACCTTTATAAGAATTTTTCCAATAAAAATATAGATGAAAATTTAATTATAAATAAAAATAAAATTATATTCATTTTTTTTATGTGTTTCGAAAGATATGATAATGAAGAGACAATTTTCTTGAAAATGAGGGCATATAAGTGATGGAAACTTGGTGAACCACTTGATTTATTTGCCCGGTGATGTGATTGTTTTTGCCCCGTTTATTATTATTAAATATTATATTGTAAATTTCATATAATTAGTCACATTCACAGTTAGTTAAGTAGTTAATTAAACCTATCAGAGTTAGTTAAATTTCCTTTTTTACTGTGCAGTTAGATTAGATGTTTTTCCAATTGATTGTATATATATAATATACACTGATCAATAGAAGAAGGTTAAGCTTCATATTTCACATATCAATTTCATCTCTCATTTACATATGCTAGAAATTCATACTCTTCACATGGTATCAAACAATTTTGAATCTGAGGTTCTCGTTTTCTACTTCTTTGCTTGTTTATAGTTTGCTATGTAATTTCTGTTTTTTCTGTTTTGGATCCATGGAAGTTGCTGCTAATTCCAATCTATCTGGTCTGGAGCCTCACATCATATGACTTTTGATCGATCCATCTTACACAATATTACCTTGTTGCCCTACCCAATGTTAATTGTTTTACCTAATGGCTATAAGGTTAAGGTGAATCAGATTGATAATGTAACATTAAAACCTATGATCAGTTTATAAAAGGTCTTATTTGTGCTATCTTTTAAGTATAATTTTATCTCCATTCACACCCTAGCCACACATTCAAATTGACCCATCAGTTTTAACAAAACTCTCTGTCTCAAACAGGTCCCTTTAATGAAGAGGTTTCTGGTGCTTGATAATGATGATGATGGTCTCTACTTCTTATGTCCAAGTTGCTTGAAGAAAACTTTTACTTCATAGTAGTGTTTTCCTCCATATAATTTGCAATGATTGTAAAGCCAACAATTCTTTTTCTCATAAACAATGTACTACTTCTGTTAATAAAAATATATCTTCTTTATCTGTCAATCATTCATCCAATTCTACTTCATATGGTTTTAATTCTCATACTTGTACTAGAAACAATATGGATATTATATGGCATAACAAATTAGGACATGTTCTTTTTGTCAAGATGAAGGATATTTCCAACATTCATGAAATATTTTTCTCCAAACAACCCTTTATGTGTTTCATTTGTCCCATGGAAAGGCAGGAAAGATTAGCCTTCAAATCCAGAACCACATTTACTTCACACATTTTTGAACTACTCCGTGTTGATTTGTGGGGACCATATCACTTAGTCACATACAATCACTTCAAATATTTCATCATCATTATAGATGATTTCAGTAGGTCCACAAAGACTCAGTTGCTCAGTTCTAAGAGCAATGCATTACAGGTTTTAAAAACTTTTATTATTATGATGGAAAATCAATTTGAAACCGTTGTGGAGGCAGTAAGAACAGATAATGGCCTGGAGTTTGTGAATTCAGAAACAACCAATTTTTTTCAAAAAAAAAGGATTTCTCCATCAAAAGACTTGCCCTTACACACCACAACAAAATGGAGTGGTGGAAAGAAAACATAAACATTTACTTGAAACAACTAGAGCATTACTTTTTCAATCCAAATTCCTTGTCCAGTATTGAGGGGAATGTCTTTTGTGTGCAACATACATCTTCAAGAGAATTCCCTCAGTTGTGCTAAACAATGTATTTCCTTATGAAATCCCATACAAAAAGAAACCTATTTACTCTCACATGAGGTGTTTTGGCTGCCTTTGCTATCACTTTGTACCCATTTCTCATAGAGCTAAATTTGAACCAGGAACTACTCCCCATATTTTTGTTGAGTATCCTTGTGACACAAAAGGATATAAGATTCTAAATATATCCACAAAAAGAATACATGTTTCTAGAGATGTTATTTTTCATGAGAATATTTTCCCTTTCCATGATACTTCTACTTCTAATTCAACTCCTTGTTTTATTGATATCTTAGATACTACTAATATGCATAGCACAACACATGTTCAGACTGTATGACAGTTCAAATGTTATATCTGATCATTCACCTGATCCCATAATTTAAATCCTTTCACCTTCTGTACATGTTAATACACCCTTTGTTACCCAAGATCAGGCACCTAGAAGGTCCACTAGGTGTTCTAGACCTCCTATTACATGAGTGATTATGTTTGTTCCATCCCACAACTAAAGTCATATGTTTCCCCTACCAACACTATAACTATTAACGCTACCACTTCCCTCAAAGCCCTTTTCTCCAATCACCACCACATGGCTCACAATGTTCTAATTCCTGACAGTCAAGATTTTATAAGAAATGTTTGTCTTGACAGGAAACCTACTTTATATGAGGAGGCTGTTGTTGATCCTGCATGCAGATGACTATGACATAAGAGTTTGATGCCTTATACTCTAATCATACTTGGGATTTAGTTCCCCTTCCTAATGGAAAGAAAGTTATACTCTAAAAATATTCATATTTTCGTAATTAAAAAAAATCAGTTTTTGAAATAACTAGATGTGTCATCCCGTTTATCCCATTCCGTTTCATTTCGGTCTGTTCCGGTTCCATCACGATATATAGTGGAACGAGACGGAACCGAGTATCCGTCCCGGTAATTCCGGTCCGGTTCATCCTGGTACTGGTCAACGAACCGGTCAACTCGTTTCGTTCCGGTTCGGTACCGGTTCGTTCCGGTCCGGTGGTCCCGCTCCGATCCGTTGCCCAGTCTTAGGTACTACTAGAGGTGTCAAATGGGCGGGTTGGGTCAACATTGAAAATATTAAAATGGGTTGAATAGAAATCAATAATTTAACATATTGATATTTAATTTTTATAATTACAATTTCAATTTCCGCTCAAGATTTTTTTGTTAAAAAAGGTAACAAATGGATGGATAAATAATAAAGGATGTTAAACAGATAATAATTCATACCTTCAATATAGGAAAATATCTTAATAAAAAGTTTTAAAACGGGTTGTAATTGGAGATTGAATTGGGCTCGATTGAGAATTCTCTTCAAATGAGTTGAGATTGAATCCAATCCAAATTATCTTGAACTCACCCCTTAAAATTCTGGACGGATTAGGCGAATTACCTATGTTTGGATTCATTTTTGACATCCCTAGATACTACTATAGGTTAAACGAACAAATAAAACAACTTAGCAAAAAATGGGTTGAATTTGTTCTTTGATCGGTTATATAACTCGTTACCTAAACTATTTTCACTCAAATAAATTCAAATTAATTTGGATCTTGACCTGATTATTGTCTTAACCTATAATAAACAACCAAAAGTTTAATCTAAGCCCCAATTGTCCCTTAGTTCCTAAACTATACACAAATAACACAGACCTTTTCGTGTACTAGCAAAAAGAAATTTTTATGAACAAATATTTTGGTAGAAAACATTTCTGGGTCATTGTTGGCTTGCATTAGGACAAATAATTAATATCCGGGGTGAAATATCGGAAAAACTAATACGCATGACTTTTGAATTGTAGCATAACATTTTAAATTGCTAAGTTGATTTTATTACGTTTAATTAATAGTATTTATACATGTTTGGTTCCTAATGTAGAAGTCTACGAAACTAATGCATAGTTTAATTTTATTTGGCGCATTCAACCCTTCAGTGTTATGCTAAGTGCCAACATAAACTTATATATTGTTCTTTTAATAATAATAAATAAATAAATAGAATATGAAATAAAAGTAGCTGTGACGCTCGTCTCCACCGCCCTGTTTATTTTCTTGTAGTACTATGTTTAGTTTGACCATTTTTATTTTATTAATTATTATTTGTGAGAGATAATAATTTTT